TGGCAAAGTAATGTCTGCTTTTTAATATGCTGTCTAGGTTGGTCATAAATTTTCTTTCAAGGAGTGTCTTTTTATTTCATGGCTGCAGTCACCATCTGCAGTGATCTTGGAACCCAAAAAAATAAAGTCTCTCACTCTTTCCCTATATATTTGCCAGGAAGTGATGGGAACGGATGCCATGATCTTAGTTTTCTGAATGTTGATCTTTAAGCCAACTTTTTCACTCTCCTCTTTCACTTTCATCAAGAGGCTCTTTATTTCTTCTTCACCTTCTGCCATAATGGTGGTGTCATCTGTATATCTGAGGTTATTGAAAGCTCTCCCAGCAATCTTGAATCCAGCTTGTGCTTCCTCTAGCCCAGCATTTCTCATGATGTACTCTGCATATAAGTTAAATAAGCACGATGACAATAAACAGCCTTTCCCTATTTGGAACCAGTCTGTTGTTCCATGTCCAGTTCTAACTGTTGCTTCCTGACCTGCATACAGATTTCACAAGAGGCCGGTCAGGTGGTCTGGTATTCCCATCTCCTTCAGAATTTTCCACAGTTTATTGTGATCCACACAGTCAAAGGCTCTGGCATAGTCAATAAAGCAGAAATAGATGCTTTTCTGGAACTCTCTTGCTTTTTCGATGATCCATACTATGAGTATCCATACTCATATCACGAGTAGTATGTTAATACAATAGATTATATATGTATACTCTTTAATTGCTGAATATCACAGAATTCAATATTTAAAAAAGTAAATTGCAGACTGATATATTTAAATTTTAGAAACAAAAACAGAACTGTGAATTACATGTAGTATATATAAAAGCTTTAAACAAAAACTGGAAGAACATAAACGCACTTATGACAGTGGACTGGGGATGGGAGAAGATATGGGACTGGGGGATAATGGCCAAAGGGGACTTTATCTGTAATGTTTCTGCTTTTTATATAGAGATGGAAGCAAATACAACTAATTGCTAATGGTTCTTAACTCCAGGTATTGTTCTGTAAATGTAAAAATGGGATTGTAATATGATTGAGGAAAGATGCCAAAGAGAATGAGAAGCTGCTTTAGTGGAAGCTAGAGACAGTTTAAAACTCAGAAGGTAATACAGCTCAATCCTATGAGGACATCTACAACCTCTAAAGGGATGTCCATGTGGTTGGTAACATCCTGTGAGAGAGGATTCTAACTCACTTGCTACTGCAGGAGGCCTGTGGGGAACAGATTATTCTGTCATTGTTCTTCCCATCTGACTGTTCCAGGGACAATGACTCCGTTCCTTGCCTACCCACCATGTGCGATTAAGTGATGCAAAACAACCTCAACAAATTCCTAAATGTTTAATGTGAAAGGGGTATACAAAAGTCAAGTTTCCAGAAGCATCTCTCACCAGGCTTTAAACCTGAGGTCCATTTCTGCAGTTTGTTTATAGTATTCTTTGTATTCTCTATACATTTAATCCTCATTTTGAGAAGTAAAAGAGAAAATGAGAAAGTATAACGGTGACAGAGTAGACATAACAGACTTCTTAAAAAAGTATGATAATGAAGGAAAGGAAAAAATAAGATTCAGAGAGTCTGATGTAAAGGGTTTAAATTTATGAATGGTTATAATTTCAGGGCAATGATTTGTGACCCCATATCATTCACGACTCTAGAAAACTACCCCCTTTCCTACCACTCTCAAACAATTTAAATGGTTCAAATGATAAATTTACATAAAACAGCTGCTTACTGTTTATAAAAATGAAAGGCAATCAAAATATATATCTATGTAGACTCTTTCCAGCTGCAAATATGGCAAGAATAAAATTTATTTTAAGATAAACAATTGCTAAACTAGATTTACTTATTCACAAAGGAAAAGCAATTGAACGTCAGCTTAGTAAGCTGCTATTAATTAAAAAATCATGAAAGACTGAATGTATAAACTGAACATACCATCATGTTTGTAAATATAATCTTTATGTTATTTGACATCGGTGGAACACAAACCTCACTAGAATTAAAGCTCCACATGAGTATTTCTGCTTATGTTCACTACCACCATATACTGAGGGCTTAGAATGGTACTGGGCAAATGGATCAATATTTATTAAATCAATTCAATGAATATAAACTTAATAAACTATTAAAATATACTTAATCTTAACCTAGAACTGAAACAATATGTTATATATATTTCCTTAATCTTCTCAAGGATAGAACTTGTACTGAAGAAATAAACATAAAGCCAAGTTTCTGGAGTAAATTCTGCCGCTCAAAAATTGCCACCCAAAGACCAAGCTGGGGGGAGGCAAATTCAAGCAAGAATTCTGGGTCCTAACAGGTTGACATATTTTAGTCTCTTGAACCTGTCAGTATTCTTCAAATGAACCCATCAAGTATCTTTGTGTTCAACTTGCAGGGGGGCCAGCCCAGATTAAGATGATAGTAAATACAAAGGAGATGGGGGATACGGTGTGTGTGTGTGTGTGTGTGTAAATTGCTAATTGATTGGTTACATTAGAATCTTTTTTTTAAAATTATTTATTTATTTGGCCGCCCTGTGTCTTAGCCCAATGCACTCAGGCTTAGTTGCCCCGCGGCATGTGGGATCTTAAGTTTCCCTAACAGATCAAACCTACATCCCCTGCACTGGAAGGCAAACTCCCTATCACTGTACCACGAGGGAAATCCCGGTTACACTAGAATCTTAAGTACCTTCTGTATGCCTAACATACGAATAGCATTTATTGTTGTATAAAGTACTTATACAGAGAGACTGTACAAGAACAACAACAAAATACTTACACTTGTTCTTATTTATACAGTCCTGTAAGGTAGGACATTACCATTTTTTAAAGATGATGCAGAACCTCAGAATTTAAATCCAAAGTCATATAGCCAGTAAGTGGCAAAATGAGAATTTCAAGATTACTGTCCAAGCTTACCTCTCTAAAAAAGTACTATCCCTTATCATGAACTAATCACTTAGGGTTTAGGGCAGTGGGAATTCCCTGGTGGTCCAGTGGTTAGGACTCTTGCTTCCACTGCAGGAGGCCCAGAGTCAATCCCTAGTTGGGGAACTAAGATCCATCAAGACATGTGGCACTGCCAAAAAAAAAAAAAAAAAAACCCTTTAAAAATGATTTTCAACCACAACAAACATCTGGAAAGCTTTTGAAAATACCCATGCTCAGGCCCTACCCTCCAGACATCTGTGAACTAACTGGTCGTGGGCAGAATCAGGTATCCATCCATATGTTAAAATACTCCTCAGGTGATTCCAACATGGGGCCAGGTTGTAAAATGATCTTTGAATATCATCTTAAGAATCTACCTTGATATACGTCAAAAACGTAGAGAAGATGAGGGAAGCCAGTATTATAGTCACCTGTTTCAGTATATGCAGCCAGAATTTCCAAGTTTCTGTTGAGACATCGTAAAATGTCTTGCTGGCACTCCTTGGGTTTTTTACTTTTATGCAAATTTCCAAAGAGTGTATGAAAGACAGATCAGTTTTTGGACACAAAAGTCAACTACATAAAAGTGAAAGCAGCAGGCCCTCAGGGGGGTAAAAATTAATTACAAAATACCCAGCAATAATATAGGGTCTCTGACTGGAATTGGCAGTGGCAGAAAATGGTCTCCTCTGAGCATATTTCAGTAGTCCTACATAATTTGCCAGTATGGTAAATTATTAGACCACTACACAACTGGGGAGAATGACAAAAAAGTTCATGCATTTGCTCATAAAAGTATTTACTGATGACTTGCTTTGTACAGGGGGTTGTAGAATTTGAAATAATGACGCGTAAGTTTCTGCCTTCCAGGAGCTTGTAAACTACTTATATAAAAAGGGAGTAGTCAATACAACTTGACCTGAATGCTCTCCTAGAACAAGGGCTGGATTAATTACTGGGTCACCCCAACTTAAAAAAGTCAGTACCATGATTTTCTATCAACTTAGACGTCTCAAAATTCTAAGCTCCAAAGGAAATGTCTGTCACTCTGGAAGAAGACGGTACTTTTAAGTGATTTGTGTTCTGGGTGTGATCCAAGCATAATTTTATTGGGTATAATTTCATTTAAGGGAGGCTCTTCATTTAACACTTTCCAGTTGGATTCGTTCTCAGTACAGAGCTACACCACACACTGAACTGGGTGGCGAGTGATCTATTGAGAGTTGTAGGCAACGAAAACATACATTAGCCAATAGTACTGGCGTTGCCAGGAAGTTTTATCTTTAGTGGAAAATGTGGAGTAAGGGTCTCCAGAAACTCGTGGTAGAACCCAGAGACTAGAATTTCAACAGCAGAGGGCTCTGCAGCCGATTTCACATAAAGTTTTACCGACTGGAGCCCCCCCAGGGACTTGCTCCATGACAAGATGAAACTTCCTCAGGGAACTCAACGCATGGTAAAATACAAGAAATGTTCAGGGTTGGATTTATGTCTGTTTCCCATAACCTCTACTCTGGTCTGACCGTTAAAGTCCCTTGAAGATACTCTTGACCTTATAGTTTGGGGTTGGGGATACGGAGGAAAGAAGAATGAAGTTTGCCTATGAAGTTTTCCAAACGAATGCTTATTTTTCCTTGGCTTTTGGAAAGAGTGTTAAAATTGGAGGAGGATCATTCCCCAGAAAATTAGTTTGGCTCTTCTTGCCAGTGACATCTCGGACAAACACGTTACAACACAGTTTGGGGGGGAGGGGAGGAGGAGAGTGAGAAAAAGAAACTAATTCTCTGGGTTCACACAAGCCCCTCTCACTTCGCAAAGGCGTTCCGACGAAACTGGAGGCCACTCCTTAACTAAGTTTCGCTTTAAGTCTACGCACCCAGGCCGCCCGCTCCGTCCTCCCGCCAAGTACGGCCTCCAAACTTTCGGCCCCTCGCCCGGCCCCCAGGCCGTAGAACTCCCGGCACTCCGGGCTCCGCTCCGAAGAGCCCCGAGGCCGGGCGCGGCAGGGCTGGAACGAGGGTCAGCGGCTCGCGTCCTCCCCAGAGGCTGCCCGTACCTGTCCAGCATCTGCTGTAGGGCTTGGTCCGGCATCTTCGGCGGAGCCGGCGCACTCGTCTCTCCGGTGAGCCCGGTCAGGGCCGGGCCCAGGACAATAGCACTGAGAAGCGGCGGAGTAGGCCTCAGTCCGGCGGCAGCCGCGAACCCGCCACCCAGCCTCCCGGGGCGGCTCCGCGAGCCCGGCGGTGGCGGTGCGAGGCCCGCGGGCGTCCGGAGGAGGCGGTGGGGAGCGAGGAGGAGGAGCCTAGGGCGGGGAGACGGCGATCGCGGCCGGGGTTCCTGCCCGTGGGCCCGGGGTTCCGGTCCATGGACCGCGGTCGCCGAGTTGCTGCCGGCGGAGGAGCTACCTCTGTGAGGTAAGAGTCACCGCCTCCGTGCGCGCTGGGGTCACGACGCAAGGAGGCCCAGAGCAGCCTGGGAGATGTAGTCCTCGGACCGTCCCCGCTAGAGGCTGCACAGCCCGCCCGGACCACCGCCGCCGCCCGGCCGGCGCCCTCCCGTTTCCTTCCTCCAGGGGGAAAAATGTCCTGCGGGCCGCCTTCCAAGAAGCAGCAGGATGTGCCGCTCCACTGTCAGTAGCATCAAGGTCAGCTCTCCCTGCCTGTTTTCTCTCAGCTCTGGTGCTCAGGTGGGACCGAGCCAGGTGAGGGGTGGGATCTAAAGGGCCATTTCTCGGCGGGGTCTCCAGTCCCGGCCGCGGCGTCTGGGTGGGCCGTGGCGGGGGTGGGGGTGGCAGAAAGCGTCTTCGGAAGCCCTTAGCGCTGGGGCCAGCCTCTGCAGCGTCTGAGCCCATTTCGGGGAGTTACACAACCCCCGCAAGGGGTCGGATGCTCTAGTGCGTGAGGTTATTCCTGAGGGGTCGGTAGGGCAGGGGCTGCCTTGACCAGTTGGTTCCCACCCGAACCTCTCAGGGTGTATCTCAGGGCGGGGGGAGAGGGGTGGGGTGTGTGCGTGTGTGTCGGGGGGAGATTATTCCCTCCTTCTCTAGGAACCTTCTAAAATGTGCCTGGGCTTTCAAGGGCTCGCCGATAGTCTCCAAATGGAACATGGTCGTGAATAAACAGCTCTTGCTTACTCAGCTGTGGGTTGTCAGGGTGTTTGTTTCTGTCTGCTGCTGGTCAGTGTTAACCATTTCTAGTCGCCTTGACACCTCCAAGCAGGTGGATGTGTGTGGGGGAGAGATCAAAAGGAAAAAATCATAAATCGCTCGTTGAGTTATTCTCTGACGCTCTAGGGACAGCTTTGGCGGGAGGAAAAGAGCTGTTGGCTAAAAGGAAGGCGTCTTTTGGACGACCTGTGGCGTTCTCTAGTGCTGTGATTGGTAGAACGTTTGGTAGTTTTCCCCTGATTGTGCCTAATTTCTGCCGCAAGATGTTTGATTTTTCTTTACATTAAAATGTGTTTTTAAAGCTCTTTTAATTTTTACGTAGCATTTTGCAATCAGCTCTTAATTTCTTGCTTACAGTCTGCTTCCTGAATATATTTGATCTAGAGTGTACATCGCCAGGTAGAAAAATAAAAATAACATGTGACCAGAAGTTATTTGGCCTCTGCTTTCTGAAAGATGCTTTTATGAAAGACTTCGGGAATTTACACGACTGATTATAATTAATGTTTCACCCCTTTCTCATGAAATGAGAAGCAGGCCCATGACAGGGAAGGGAAATAAGTAATTTATTAAGGCGTTTGAGATTTTAAATTCCTATTTATTACTACTCCTACTGGGTAAGTCTTCTCTTACTGTGTGTTTATCTGTTAAAGCAATTGTCAGCCAGAAGGAAATGGATACATACATGCTGCTCAAAAAACAGAATTTTATTCTAGCATATTGATTACATAGATTAGAGCAGACTCCATTTAATTTTATGACTTACATTAAAAGGAATTTTCACCTCATCTTATAATTTCTGTTTGAACTTCAAACTGGAAAATAATGTGGTACAGTTCTATTGCTAGCAAAGTGGTGTGCAGATTATCATTTTTTTAAAAAAAATTATATTAGCATTTTCATGAAAATTCTGCTTCCTGGCTGTGTCAAAAATCCTTTGAAATACGAAAAAAAAAAACTTTCTGTTACTCTTCTTAAGACTGTTAGGGAAAAATGAAGCAATTAGCACCTGACCTAGTAATCCCATTCCTCGGTATCTACGCAAGAGAAATAAAGATATATATCTACACCAAGACTTGTATGCCAGCATTCATAGCAGCATTATTCCTAGTAGCCAAAAAGTGGAAACAACCGAAATATCCATCAACTGATGAATGGATAAACCAGTAAATCCTCCTGTACAGTAAATCCGCCTGCAATACAGGAGACACAGTTTTGATCCCTGGGTCTGGACAATCCCTTGGAGAAGGAAATGGCAATCCACTTCATTATTCTTGCCTGAAGAATCATGGACAGAGGAACCTGGTGGGGGCTGCGGTTCGTAGGGTTGCAAACAGTTGGACGTGACTGAAGTGACTGAGCATGTACACACACACACCCAAAATGTTATTAGCTGACAACAAGGAATGAAGTTCTAATACATATGACAATGTGGATAAATCTTGAAAACATGTTAAGTGAAAGGAGCTAGTCAGGAAAACACCACATATTGTATGATTCCATTTATATTAAATGTTAAGAATAAATTCATAGAGACAGAGTAGATTAGTGGTTGCCAAGAGCTGGAGGGGCTGGAGAGAAATGGAGAGAGATTGCTAAAGGTCATGATGTTTCTTTTGGGGTTGATGAAAATGTTCCAGGGTTAGAGTGGTGATGATTACACAACTTTGTAAATTATATTGCAAAAATAATATAAAACAAATTTAGATTCAGGTGATGCTGACACAAATCTGTAAATACACTTTAAAAATTTAATATGAGTTAATTTTATAGTATGTAAACTGTTTGGTTGCTAAGTTGTGTCCAACTCTTTTACGATCCCATGGACTGTGGCCTACCAGGCGGCTCTTCTGTCCTTGGAATTTTCCAGGCAAGAATACTGGAGTGGGTTGCCATTTCCTACTCCAGGGTATCTTCCCATCGCAGGGATTGAACCTCCGTCTCTTGGGTCTAGTACATCTCTTGTATTGGCAGGCAGATTTTTTACCACTAGCCCCACTGTTTATCAACTTAATTTTCCTTGGCTTTAGGATTTTCAAATTAGAATTAGAATAACTGGAATCATAATTTATTCTGATTCTGAAGTAAAAAGTTCTTAATTGCTTAGATCTTAGTTTGACCCCCTCCAAATAAAAAGTTGAAATGCACTTACGTATTTTACATAAAGATTTATGGTAAATGATATTTAACCAAGAGATTAATAGCATGACCACAAAAATATTTTCCTCAGTGTTATGTTTTGAAATAGAAATTAATCTACTGAAAATATTTAAAGATTCTCCCAACTTTGGAGGATTAGGATCGATAATGTAGAGTTATCCTAAAGAGCTATGAAATGTATTAATAATTTTATAATGGATTTAGAAATATCTGAGTATAGAACTGTAGGATATTTAAAGTAGTATATTACTTTAATGTTCTACCCTGACACTTGTTTTGAACTGTCTGCCAAGGTATCCTAGAGACAGTCCAAAGAAATAATATAAAATATCCAGGTGTCCTCCAAGGAGAACTGTCAATTGCCAAATTTGCTGATAAACTGCAGGTTGAGTTCACACTGCAGGTTACAGAATATTCTTCATTAATTTATTTAGCAGACATTTACAGAGTATTTGTTATGTGCTTGGGTACTCTAGTCACAAATTAACCAATGACTACCCTTTAAGAACAAAGGAAAGCTGTGACAAACCTAGACAATGTGTTGAAAAGCAGAGACATTACTTTGCTGAGAAAGGTCCATATAGTCAAGGCTGTGGTCTTCCAAGTGGGCATATGTACAGTTGTGAGAGCTGGACCATAAAGAAGGCAAAGCACCAAAGAATTGATGCCTTCAAACTGTGGTGCTGGAGAAGACTTCTGAGAGTCCCTTGGACAGCAAGGAGACCAAACCAGTCAATCTTAAGGAAAGTCAACCCTGATTGGAAGGACTGATGCTGAGGCTGAAGCTCCAGGATTTTGGCTACCTGATGCGAAGAGCCGACTCATTGGGAAAGACCCTGATGCTGGGGAAGATTGATGGCAGAAGGAGAAGAGGGCATCAGAGGATGAGATGGCTGGATGTCATCACTGATGCAAGGAACATGAACTTGGGCAAACTTCAGGAGATGGTGAGGGAGAGGGAGGCCTGGTGTGCTTCAGTCCATGGGGTCACAAAGAGTTGGACATGACTAAGTGACTGAACAACAACACAGAACATACAAACTACCTAACGATCAGTCAGTTCAGTTCAGTTGCTCAGTCGTGTCCAACTCTTTGCGACCCCATGAATCGCAGCACGCCAGGCCTCCCTGTTCATCACTAACTCCCGGAGTTTACTCAGACTCATGCCCATTGAGTCGGTGATGCCATCCAGCCATCTCATCCTCTGGCGTCCCCTTCTCCTCCTGCCCTCAATCCCTCCCAGCATCAGGGTCTTTTCCAATGAGTCAACTCTTTGCATGAGGTGGCCAAAGTATTGGAGTTTCAGCTTCAGCATCAGTCCTTCCAATGAACACCCAGGACTGATCTCCTTTAGGATGGACTGGTTGGATCTCCTTGCAGTCCAAGGGACTCT